AAAAAAAAAAAAAAAATAGAAGAAAGAATAGAAGAAATCTGGTTTTTTTTATTAGTCTGTTCTATTCTTACCTTGAGGATGGAGGTATTTTTGACCTCTAACTTCTGTTAATTTTGTTAAAATAAGGCAGACTGAAAAGATCGACAAAAAAAATTTTTTTTTTGTCACTTAGTTCAGTTAGAAAAAACTGACACTTTGCTGTTTATAATCTCTCATTCTGCCCAAAAAAAAAGATGATTAAAGTCACCTGAAAAAGGCGTCAACAAATATACATCAGTTTACTCGTCATAAAAATTTGATGTTGTTAAATGTTACGGAAACGGTTAAAGAAATGACTGTTTGGTTGATTGTGACTTCGTTTTTTCTCTTCCATCATTCTCTCCACAAGCAAAGTTACTGATTTATAAAAACGGCAGCGGATGCAAAGGAAAGGAGGGCAAAAAAGTTTGAAATAAAAGAATTCAACCGAAAAGGCGAAAGATGACAAATTGCACAATGGTTCTATCAGAAAGAAAAATAGAAGACAGATGAAAAAAGAGCAACAGTTTGAAACCGTAAAAGAACTTTTTGCGGAAACACTAAGAACCAAATGATTACGTAAAAGTTTTCAAATAAAAAAAGACTGTCACCTTCACAGTAGCAATAAGCACTCCAAAAAAAGTGGCAAAAAGTTTTAAATAAGACAGAAAAAGCTTTTTCGACAAGCATAAACTATCTAATGTTTTTGAGTATCAAATACAGTTCATTCAAATAGAAGCAACGGCAACTACAGTAAGCAACAATTACTGGGTGTTCAGCTTTACCTCGTCTTTCAACGGGCCCATCAGAACGACGAGTAACTGAGAATTGTGTGAAATTCTAAATTTTTAGCCCTTCTCAAAAATATTCAACTATTGACTAATTCCACGGCCGAGACAAAAAACAAGCAAAAAACCTCTCTTAATCTGTCCACTTTTTTTATAACCTAGGAAAAAAACCATTATGAGCTTAAAATTGCTTCTCAAGTAGGAGCCGCTTATACCCAGTAAGCCATCGAGATTGGAAAAACATTAAACAGTGCTCTTGCACAATAAGTCAAGTGAAAAATTTACATAACTGTTTCTAAAAAAAAAAAAGAAAAAAAAACGAATATCAAAGCAATTATCAGTGCTATCAATATTTCTGTTTCACCTTTT